TCGAAGAGACACTGACAAACATAAATAGTGGGTTCTCCTCCTGGGTGGTTATTCAAGTGAGAAATTCCACCGATCATGATATTTTGCTTCCAAAAAGAACTATACTTGGACGATTGCAATTAGTAAAATCTGTTACACCTGTTGAAGTTAGGGAAAAGTGTGATAAAGAAGCACAAATTAATGGAGTGTCAGTAAATGATGATAAGTTGAACACGAATACCCCAAAGACCTTTTCCGGTGATTGGATACCTGAAGTTGATTTAAATTGTCTGACTGAGAAACAAAAATTAGTCACTCAACAAACGCTTCTCGAAAAGTCAGATTGTTTCTCTCGAGATGATGAAGATATGGGTTGTAGTGAAGAACTTAAAATGAAGATCAATTTAACAGATAACATCCCAGTTCAAAATAACTATAATTCAATACCAAAGCCCTTATACCCAGAGGTAAAACAGCATATTGAGGATCTTTTAAATCGAAAATTTATACGCAAATCTAAATCAGCTTATTCATCACCTGTTGCTAAATCAGCTTATTCATCACCTGTTGTTTGTGTTAGGAAGAAGAACTGTACTTCATGTTTGTGTGTTGATTATAGAGAACTCAACAGACGGACTATTGCGGATTGTCACCCCCTACCCATAGTCAAACAACACTGGAGAATATAGTGGTTTTCCCTTTTAGATCAGGGGAAAGCTTACCATCAAGGGTTCATAGAGACTGCAGATCAACATAAGACAGCCTTTAAAACCCCATGGGGCCTCTATGAGTGGGTAAGAATCCCTTTTGGTTTAAAAAATGTCCCTGTGGGTCCTGTCTGGAGGGACGTTGAGACGAAATATGTTTACCTTATTTAGTTGACGTAATAGTTTTTGGTAAGACTTTCGACGAACACGTTGAACACCTAAAAACTGTTATAAGGTGTCTTCGAGACCACCCAGCGGGCAAAAATTACGTCGATTCATCTTTGAATCGATGTCGAACTTCGACGTTGATGAAACAACGACGTCGGAAAAAACATTGTTTCGACGTAGAAACAACCACAATTATCAACGTTGAAATGATCTTGTGTCATAAGCATCATAAGATTTTGACTATAAGATACTTTATTTCATTTTGAAAAACCATTAATACTAATACAGCCTATATAATTACAGAATATATAAACGGTATCCTCAGACCATATAAGCCCTATAATACCATAAAATATTGACATATATAAATATTTCACGACCTATTAAAAGTTGCACGACCTACTAAAAGTAAATTTAAACAGTTTCTTTTCGTCCTCCTCCTCCTTGCCTATCTGGTGCATACTTGAGCAGTTGCTGTACAACTTATTCCACCTCCGCTTTGATCGTCATCTTTTGGTTTTTAACCACACATTCTGGGAACAATACAGAGCACAATATTAACAATGGGTTTTCATTATATGACTACCATTGGCAAGCATCAGCTACGCGATATGATTATAGTTGCGATTATATTTATAGTTGTGCGACATGATAACAATCCGGAAAATCTCGTAATATCCCTTAGGGACATTAATGCCCTACGACAAAAACTCAGTCAAAAACAGAAAAATCAAAAACTATTCTTTAAATGGGAAGAAACAAAATTTTCGCCAAAAATTTAAATGGGGAAATTAACCATGACTTTTCTGATCAAGTAATTATACAGGGTAAAGTGCAAGCCGTTACTTGGTATGTTTGGGGGAAAGATGGAGATGACAAACTCTGCAAGATGGTAAAGGAGGGCACAACAGATGATCTGTTTGATCATTTATGCTCGATATTGCCAGAGTTCCTACAACACTGCCATGTCAAAAGAAACCAAGCAGATAGCTACAACAAGGAAAGAGAGGCTGTTGGTTGTGAAGATTTTGATAAGTCATTTGCTTTGTTGCAGGTTGACTTCTCAGAAAACTACACATGTGCTCACTGGAAACAGGATCAAGTCAGCCTGTTCACTGCAGCCCTTTGGTTTGATGGTAAGCTCCACCCCACAGTCATTGCATCTGATGACTTGAATCATGGGAAAGAGACGGTTGTGTCCTACATTGATTACCTCCTCGACACTCTTCCTGCAACTGTGAAATCCATTTCCATATGGTCTGATGGTCCTTCCTCACAATTTAAGAATCGGTTTCTTGTTGCAGCCATTTCATCGCTTCAAGAGAAACACAAGATTAACATCATCTGGAATTATTTTGCTACTTCACATGGCAAAGGTCCAGTTGATGGTATTGGAGGTTCTGTGAAACGACAGGTCTGGATGGATGTTAGCAACAGGAAATCCATTGTTACTGATGCAACTTCGTTCTGTACTACCGCAAAGCAAATATCCAATGTGGATGTTGTAGGGATGAAGACAGATGAAATCGAAGAACGAAATGCTAATCTTAAGCTGACAGAAGTATTTGATGATGCACCACTTGTGAAAGGTATTAAGTCATTCCACCACATAAAAATAATTGACTCCGTTTGCCATGGTTATGCTATGACCAAAGATGCCAAGAACGATTCTTACAAGTCCGCTGATGAATTCATAGTGTCAGGTTGGTGTGTGGTCGAGTACGACAATCAGTTATTTCCCGGAGAAATTCAAACAGTGGTTGGAGAAAAGTATGAGGTGTCAGCCATGATCAAAGCTGGAAGATATTGGAAATGGCCTGCACAAGAAGACAAAATTTTCTATTTGAGAGATCAAATTGTAAAAGGATTGAATCCACCCATTTTGGTGAATGCCCGGGAGCATTATGACTTCCCAGACTTTGAGTAGATACAGTAGTTTAAGTTAATATATAATTATAAGTAAGTTGCCTGTTCTATATAACAATATTAAAAAGTTACTCTGGCTTTTGCCAGAATGTTATAGTTGATTGTTAAACATGACCATTTCGTAACATCCGTCACAGCACATTTTGGTCTCTGCCCCCCCCCCCTGGAAAGGAGATTGACAGTAAAAACCCTCCAAGATATTTAATTCACTTTGTGGTTGAATGTTGGGTCATAAATATTTTAACTTGTCTACTAAAGTTTGAAGACAAAACTTATTTGAAATTATGTGGTAAAAGTCTTTGTCCATTTTGTGTAACATCTGTCACACACATTCAAATGCCGATTGAAGCCAACTTCTGCCGATTTTAGTAAATTGAACTTTTTCATGAGATAGATGTTGTAATTACTTATTATTGTAGAAAAAATTGTGTGCCAACATAATATAGCTGAAGAGATATAAGTTGATTTGTGCCTGAAAAATTCTTTAAATGTAATGTCCGTCACCATGGAATTGCCCTAATATGGATTATTTCAAACTTTGTTCTCTTTCCTCTTTCCAACAAGGGGCATTTCTGTGTTTAGAACAGCTATACACTGCACAACAGATTTCATCGAAATGGTCGTTTTTAGATGCAATAAAATCTGCCAATTTACTATGTTGTCTTATATCAAACTATGAAAATCTGAAATTTGGCTGTTTGCCATGTAGTAACACCCTTGTTTAAAAAACATTTAACACTTTTTGAATGGCATTCGCTTGAACCGTCAAGGCTTAGTTCAAGGCACATGAGTTAATGTAACTTTTACAAATACGGTGCTGCAGGAAAATACACCACAAAGAGTACACTGTCACATACCTACAACAACTTGAAATACTTTAGTGGACCCAAAAGCATATTTTGAGCCTTTTCCTTTCATGTTCATTGAAGCCATAACTTCATTATTCGTCAATCTAAAAATGAATTGGAAATATTGATAATAGTTCTCAATAGCATGAAAGGTGACTTTCAATCTACAATATGTAAGAACACCAGCACACTTTAATTGTGTTGTCATACTTTCATGGCTATTTACCTGTGCATCACATTGTGGACATTCACTCTGATGTTCAGTCCTCCAACATCAACAATTCTTGATAACTGCAAAACAATGGTCATCCATATCACGGCTAAAGCAGGTTATGTGAGTATTGGGCATACATGCTAATTGAGTCAGACGTTGAGTAATAGAGCATGCACATATATTTACAGCTGAGTCAAGATATAAGTTTAAAAAATCATTGGTTAATAAACTTTCTCGGTTTACGAACAACTGAAATCCTCTAGAGCACGCTCATACTTTTGTTCTTCATACATCGAAAAATTGCCTGAATTAAATGCGTTGGTCAATTCAAGAATTTGTAGGCAGGTTCAAAATTATGCTTACCAGGGTCATCTCTAGTGTCTTTATCAGCAAGACTGGCATCTAAGTTTATTTTAAAAATTACTTCGCCAATGAACTCGTATAAGATGAGTCGTTTTTTAAGCTATTTAAAGCACTTGTAGTCGTGTTTTATCACATATAAAACACTCCGCTACGCGTCATGTTTTATATGTGATAAAACACTCCTACACATGCTTTAAATAGTACTTACAGAGTATGGTATATATATTTACAAAATAATGGTTTAATATTACTAAAACGGTTACATAGTTTGAAAGAACAAATGAATAGAAAGAAAGGAAAACAACTTATCAGTGACTAGCTAATAAGTAAAAATTAATGTATGGTTAGTATAGTTAAGGTTAATATTACATAACTAAAATAACTCAAGAGGGGTAGATCTAATATTAGCATTAAGGACAGGGTTAAGTTGAGATATTAATAGGCTTTCACAGATAAGAAGATCCAACTCAGAAGTGCCTTATGATAGGATTAATCCTATCATCAGGCACTTCTGAGTGGGATCTTCTTACCTGTGAAAGCCTATTAATACTCTCAACTTAACCCTGTCCTTAATGCTAATATTAGGTCTACCCCTCTTGAGTTATTTTAGTTATGTAATATTAACCTTAACTATACTAACCATACATTAATCTTTACTTATTAACTAGTAACTGATAAGTTGTTTTCCTTTCTTTCTATTCATTTGTTCTTTCAAACTATGTAACCGTTTTTGTAATATTAAACCATTATTTTGTAAATATATTTAAAAAACTCATTAATAATTCAGGAGCAAAACACAAAGAAAAATCATAAGCGTGTCGTATCTTTATATGTGATAAAAAATCATGTTAATTTACATAAACTTTAGCTTTGATTTTCTTGGTTCAGACAAAGTTTATTTTAAAAATTACTTTGCTAATTGTACTCATCAGAAGATGGGTCGTTTTTTACGCCATTTAAAGCACTTGTAGTCATGTTTTATCAGATATAAAACGCTCGGCTGCGCCTCGCGTTTTATATCTGATAAAACACTCCTACGCGTGCTTTAAATAGTACATACCATACCCTGTAAATTCATTTAGATTGCTCTGAAGATGTTGTATTGTAAACAATGAAACGTTAGCTAATAAATGATTTACTTTTATTATGTTTGGATTTAAAGTTATTTGCTGGGCTCTGCTCTTTATCTTTAGACTTCTTTGTCACAAAGTGACGAAACTACTCGGATAATTTTCAAATCTTTTTCAAGATCAAAACGTTCTGGTCAACCAAATAATAAACTAATGGGATATTTTGCACGAGCCTTCTATCTTTGATCGTCGATCTGACTTTCACATGTTCCTATTTTATCTCAGGTGAACAATATATTGATGTGGAATATTAATAACCTACTGGCTGAGAGTGAGGGCAGTACGGGAAAATATTAACTCAATTCGATCCGCCAATATTAATTTGCGACGTATATGACGGGAAGATTAAATATTAAAGAACTTCGCGAGTATTTGCAGTAGACATACGAAAATACCACCTAAAAATTCCGCTTGATCGATACTATATATTCAGAAATATTCATATAATTTTATTGTTTCTCGCTCAATTTCAAGCGAATTTCTTACCTTGAAATGATCAATGCCGTGAAATTTATGCAAATGACACATTATCAATTTTGCTGTTGCATTTTGAATGTTCCGCCTGATTCAAATGCTCGTCTTTTTGCTTCTTTTCAACGTATAATAATAACAAATATACCAAAACAATCGCCATCTTCCATTCTATAGCTCGGAGCAGTCTCGGGAAATTGCGAAATAATCTAAGCCTATTATGGCAATTCTCGTGATCGGAAAGTGTTCGGCCAACTTCGGACGCCAAATTCTTGGTAAGGCATTACAGTTTCCTGGTAAAAGACTGCAGGAATCACTTCCGGAGTGTTTGTTTACCCTAGATATGAATTTTGATTGGCTTAGGCAGAAAAGCAAATCTTTTAGAGCAATTTTCCTGATTATCGCGCACGAGAACGCACAAGCGTTGAAATGTATTGTGTTGTAGTTTTGTTTGAATCGCATTCTGAAGACGTTTTTGGCTTTATTTTGCAAACTGATAGTGCTAGTAATGATGGAATGTCTTCGTATGAAGACAAGTATCTCAACCTGGCATTGGGAGTCGTGTCTGGAGTTTCAAGGCAAGTATTTGTATCATTTCTAGACAATTTCTATTTCAATGTTTTGCCGTTGCCATGGCGTTGTAAATTTATTTGTATTACTAGTACGACCGAGTATGTCCTCATATCGCTTTTTTGTGTTGAAATAATCGTTTCATACTGAAATTGACAAATATAAATGGTATTTATTTATATTGTTGACGAAAATTTATGGTGTTTTAGGCATAAAAATCTCTGATTCCTAGGCGAAGTAAAATGAGCCTTGAGCACATGTTTGGTTGTTTGTTACATACATAATAGCCAAGTATTCATACTTATATCTTACTAGTTGGCTTTTATTATAATTTTAAGTGGCACCATGTCTATAAAAGTTTTTATTCGCACTGATGAATATATTGATCCTGTTCCTATCTGCTGTTCCTGTTTCATAGCCTCAGGGAAGTAGAGTTCTGATGAGTCATGAGAACCCCACTCACCAACCCAGAGGGAAGGTAGGGGGATGAGTAGAGGTAGAGGGAAGCCCAGCCATTAGGACCTAAGGTTTTGAAAGCTCCCTGTCTAGCATCCCCACTAGGCCCCATAGTACATGACGGATATGATGATCCTGATGCCAGGAATGTTCTCCCAGATTTTGCTCCTCACTGACATGTCCGGGATCCATTTCGATCAACTGTGAGCTTGAGTTCATTCGGCTCAATGAACTGTGAGCTTGAGTTCATTTGACGCTTTTTTACTAAGGGAATGCTTCAGGAGGTAGTTTCCTGGCCATACCAATACATATGCCCACATACAAATAACTCAAAAGTTATCCCCATATACTAATAAAGAAGGGTCTTGCAGTCCACCAACCTTGAGAGGTTGATTGCCTTTAGTATAATATGCAGGTTTGCTAAAGGTCGACAGTGAGATTGAAAATTATTGGAGTGTAAAAACCTTATATCATGGTCTGTGGGCAATAGACATAATTTCTCGGGTTAGGTACAAAGCGCTTATGGCGTTTGTGAATATGGTAGATCCTGTACTAAAGACTACAGCAATAAACTGCATCAACAACTGTACCAGCCGTCACAGAATATTGTTGTTGCAGACAAACACACTGTCAAATCAAGAAATAGGTTGGGGTTAGGCAGTTCATGAAAGCTAGATGACCTACTATGTGGGGAATAAATCTGTGGGTTGCTGCAGACAATCCTAATGGTTATATTGCGACTTTGAAATTTATACAGGAAGAAGTCCAGATATTCATCGCAACAGATTTGGGTATGACGTGGTGATCTGATATCAGTTTGGTTACAGTCTTAGGTCTTTTGTAGTACAATATAAAGGAAATATTTTCACCACATAATCCAATTATGTGCTTTGGCAAACATTACTGCTTTAGCAAACATTACTGCCTTGGAAAACATTACTTTTTTATAACTACTAATTATGATGATGCCAGCCCAACAACACTTGGTCATGCTATTTGCAAATATTTTCATGTTCTAGATTGTGAAAACAATCAATTTCTAAACAAATGAGTAGTGATTATTTCAAATTTGAATAGCATGACCAAATTTTGAGGCTGGTTATGCCACTAATAACTAAAGTCAATGGTGTAATGATTATCTAAGAATGTATGTAGTAATTGCAGAAATAAAGACATTTTGCTAATCATGATTTGAGTGTTCTTTTGTGGGTATCACAGACTTATTTTGGTGCCATACTATCTTTGGAGAGTAAGAAATATTGGAAATTTGTATTGATAACATGTTGCAGCAATAAAAAAGGACCTTTGATAAAGGTATTTGTTTCATGTGAGCACAAAATGTAAATTTTACTCCACTATCTAGTTTATATAAAAATTCAATAAAAATATTTCTATTTATGCTACATGCATGAAACTTCGGGTACTTGTAGATCATAACCGTGTCTTTCAGTCATATTCATAAAATTTTTTGACATATTTGAAATTTGGACTGCTAAATACATTTATGCATAATTGCGACATTTTTTTATATCATAATTTATGCAAATTTATGCGAGTAAATCGTTAACCAAGCTCCGGATGAAATTGAAATTGGTATCGTTGGAAAGCAGAAGTCCTCCTCTTTCGAACGATGCCATTTCTGTTTCCGTGCGATGTATAATTTGAGAGATATAAGCGTTTGAAACAACACCACTCGAAATTGCTACTTTTCGACCGGATGAGAATGAGTTAACAACGCGGGCACAATCCGAAAAAGTCAGGCAAATTTCTTTCCTCCCACCTAATTTTTTCCTTCCTGTATGCCCGTGTGTATACCGCCATAAATCCTGGGATGAAAGCATGGTCAGATATATTACAGTATATAATCTTCTGTAGTAGTAAGGGGATAAAAGTACTCGAAAAAAAAGAGGGGGTGTGGGAATTTTTTTTTTAATATAAAATAGTATTACGCAAAAGTGCCGCGTCAACAAAAAAAGTGAAAAAGTGTCTCCACCGACGGGGGGTTTTTGGGATCACCATGACATCCCCAAAAGGCACTGTGTGTGTCGCAATAATGCGTGGGTTGCGCAACATTGGAGGAGATGTGTCGCCGAACCCCTGGTCGACCGAAGTGAGGACATTTGAATTTGGCGGTGATTTTATGGCGCACGTCACGTGACGCACGTATGACGTACTTCCGGTGACGTAGATCCGGTGCGCCCGTTTTTCGGGTGGGCGTGCGGGCGGCGTGGAAACATCTTGATAATAGGATGTATTTAGGGAAACAACAGATTATGAGGGTTACCATGGGTTACCATGGATCCGCAATCCAGTCTCCAGTCTGAACTCCATTACCCACAGTCCAGTCCTTAGCATGTAACTTGATTGACAGATGACAAAAAAGACCGGATTCATGAACCTGGACTCATAAAATTTTGGACTGGAAACTGGAGTATGGATCCGCAATTTTTTACCCCTTCGGTGCGCCCGTTTTTTGGGTGGGCGTGCGGGCGGCGTGCGGGCGAGCTGTTAATAATCGACGGGGACGGTTAAAAATTGTTTTTTTAATAAAGAAAATAAGTACAAAGTGTGTTTATTTTACGTATTTTTTTCTCCAAATGTACAGTGCGGCAATTACAGGGTATTTTGCACAGAGACCACAAAATTTGTGGTCCTCTTTGCAAAATACAATGTTTTATAACGCTACATTATTTCGATAGCCGTTTTGCATTTCGTCAGGTTCTACTAGACATCGATAGCCGTTTTGCATTTCGTTAAGTTCTGCTACCCCCTCGGTCCACGCTTTTTCAAACCATTCGTTGTCTTCCGTAAATGTAAAATCTTCATCTTCATCATCAAACCATTCGCAGTCGTTGTTGTACGCCAAGCAGCAAGCATTGCCTTCAAACAGCTCTTTTATTTCTAAAATAAATGTCGTCGACTGATGAAAAATGTGCATGTAATTGTGAAGAGGAAAATTTTGGGCGTAAATGTTTATGCGGGTGTAAATGTGTGTGGTGTCAGCTAATTGCAGACTTAGACGAGGATATGGAGCGGCAAAGAAAACAAGATTCTGGGCAAAAACGTTGTAAGCGTAACGAAAATACTTGTTACGAGTGTTTATGTAACGAACGTGAAGTTTGTGTGTGTACATAAAATGGCCGATGAAATTAATTGGGAGTATTTAGATAATTGGGAAAAAAAGCGGTTGGAAAATTTGAATATTTTACGCAAATCTAAAGCTTTTGAGATGTTTAAGCAAAGACTGTGCGGCGAAATAAATGCGTGGAAATATTGGGCTGAAATGGTCGAACCGTTGGAGAAAAATAAACTTGATATATCTCGTTTTTTATATACTGCTGCAAGTTGGGGTACTGATGGTGCAGACCCTTTACTGGACGATTTTATAAATTATATGTACGTGTCTACGCAGTGTAATGTTTTTAATATTATTATAGAAAATTGGAAAAAAATTGTATTTGTTAAATAATGCCCTATATAAAATAATGTAAATTGTAAATTTGCGTTCATAACGATGGGGCGAGCCGTTGCGGGTAGTGTTGCGCATGCAACTTCGTGTACAATACTGTGGACAAAACGGGTCGAGGAGGGTGCAGCAATTCGGCAAGTCGGCGGTAGCGTTGTAAGAAAAAGAAAAAGACGAAAAGGTGGAAAAAAAAGAAAAAATCAAAGTGGTGGTAGTTTTTGGGACGATATTTCGCAGATGCCTAGAGTGTGGAAGGAGTCTGGAGCTGCGGATGTGAGATGGAATCCTTATGCGAAGGGGACGAAGAAGAAATAAATAATATCTATAAATGTAATTAATTGATTAATTGATTTAATTGTTATGAATAAATCGTTACTTAATCCATATGAGTGTTTTTTTTATTATTTGCCGCCCGCTAAAAAGCAGGGCGATTAAAAAATACGGTGAGAAACTTTTACAGCAAGAAGATTCGATTCCCTGTTGCTTTTGCTTTGGTATTGCTATCCATGAAGTATTGCTACCCATGTGTGACTTATATAGAAGAAGAAGAAAATTGAAAAACGGAAGTGGTAAAAAATGTATTGAATTACAATACCAGCTGTGAGCGTAATATCGGGAAGATTTACAATATTTTACATGTTGTAAGGGTAATAACCAAATATGGGTGTGGAATTTCTATGCTGAATATCTATTTAAAAAACTGCTCTTTTAAAAAACTTGTTGGATATAGTTGATATGGCTGAAGTTAGCGAGAAAAAATTTTGGGTTGATATGGATGATAAATTGATGCGTACGTCAATTGAAGTATTTGCTTTAGAAGAAGTAAAAAATTTTAAATTGGAAAAACCCGAACATTGGAAGGGTACTGCAGAGCAACAACAACATTTATTTGAACATATAGTTGCGCGTTATCTATGGAAGCATGTTTATGAAGGTCTTCCCACCGACCATTCTGGTACACCCTCGGCAGAAGTGTTGAAGCTGTGGGACGATAATTTTACGAATGATATAGCCACGGGATGGGGTTCGATGGTTAAGACATTTTTGAAGTGTATCAGCGTGTTTGGTGTCATGCAGCCAGAAGGAATTTTTTGTCAAAAAACAATTCCCGAGTTGTTAAAGATGAAATATTATTTTTTTGATATGAGTGCGGGGTCAAAAAGGCGCATTGTCGACAGACGTTATAGACAAGTTTACGAGTTAGTAGATTTAGTTTATTTTAAAAGTATTGAAAATATATTTTAAAAAATATATTCAAAAAAAATATTGTAATAAGTGTGGTTACAAATGTGTTTGTGAATAAATTTTTTTGCACCGTAATAATTCTGCAAGGATAGTGAAAGGTAGTTAAAAGCCGGGTGAGTGTGATAGTGTATGTCTATCGTTCGGACACGCTACTAATAGTAGTCGGTGTGGCGGAATGGCAACGAGTTAGGGTTATCAGTCCTAAGTAAAAGGGGCTGTTAATTGCTGTTAGTGTCGTGTACAGCGATAGACATAACATTTTTTGTTATTATTGTTATTTGCCGCCCGCTAAAAAGCAGGGCGATTGAAAAATTGGTTGATATATACTATATTGGATATTTTGTTGCGTCGAAGCTCGCCATGAAGCTACCACAGGTAAGCGCTACTTGTGTGTGTGTCTCGTTGTAGCCGGGCTTAAAGAAGAGGGAGATTGAAAACGGAAGTGGTAAAAAATGTATTGTATTACAAATTTACAATTTTTTTGCATCAATGGTAATTTTTAGAATATCTTTTAATGTTTGGATTTGTTTATCGATGCCTTCTTGGGTTATTCCTTTTTGACAATCTTCTTGTAGTACTTCAGTTTTTTTGCGTAGGGTGGCGATTTCGTTTTGTATACTTTTTATGCGGTGTAGTTTATCATCACATTTTTGAATACCATATGGTTGGGCGCCACAGATGTCGCAGAAATCATAAAATTCCCGGGTTTTTTCGTTACCATAGACGGGAATAATTTTTACTAGCTGCCCGTTCAACCATGCGAGAATCGGTTCATCAAACATTCCTGGTGGTTTAAGACAACATGTTGCGCCATCATCATTAGCGAGCGTAATTGTGGGGATATCTGCAATATTTTACAAGTTGTGAGGGTAATAACCAAATATGGGTATGGAATGTTGTTAGTGTAGAGTACAGATTCACCACAAGAGATTCTGAAGAAATATTTCAAAATCAAATTTGAAAGTTGTTCTCCAAAACTCTTATTTTAAAATCTTTTTCTTGTGCCAACTAAATATTCCTACTGTTGATTAAAAAACAAAAAAGTCGACTTTAATATCCCTGTGTAAAAATCCACAAGGATGGTAAAGCCAATTTTTCCATTCTTATCATCACCGGTTTTTAGAGCTGTAAAAAGCAAATTGGTTGTAATAAATCAAATTTGCTTATTACATCCCTGAAGAAAGGGTGTTTTCTCAGATGTGTGAAAGCGAATACAAAAATGAATTTGGCCATCACAGATCTGTGAAAAAAGTAAATTTGTGAATCCCAAACGACGATTGCAGCCACAAAGGACTGTTATCACCATGTGGGAAAGCAACAACTTACTAAAAGCCGCATAAATATCCCAGTTGGTAGTCTTCTATTTTCGGATCCAGGAATGTTGTTTGATAACAGGATGTGAATTGCTATTTTGAAGATAGATTTGTCGAGTAGGTATCCCTTTGACGCAAAATATTTATAAATATTTTTTTTTACATCAATAAATCGGCAACATGTTGATTGTTTTAACATTTTTACATATAGATAAAATTCCTTTATAAAAGCTTTCATTCGTGTTTCGTAGTGGTACGATGTGCCATATAACCAACTGCCCCAATCTGTTGTGCGCCAGCGTAGGCGGATGTAATGTGTGCGTAATTTTTTTTCTCCTCGATGTGTTGCGCTGAGATAAACTGTGAAATTTTCATTGCCGTCCTCTGTTAGTTTTACAGTTTTATTACAATAAAATATTGTATCTTCACATAAAATATACCCGTTCATGATGAAACATTTTACATACAGTACCAACTACACTTCTAGTGCAATATAAACATTGCCCTGGAGATGAAGTTAGTACAGTTTATAAAAACCGTGTAGCATTAAAGATGTGCGAGAATTTTATGCGAATTGATAACGAAATTACGAAGACAGGGTATGATTATCTTGACAATTGGAATGTGCGCGACAATGTAACGACTCAGGAGGAGTTGTCAAATTTTATGTTAATGTATATTGTACAGAAGAAAATACATAAGAAAACGGAATTTTCCCCCTATTTACCCGAGGATGAATGGGTTGAAAAAAGTAAATCGGTGGTTGAGGAGTATGCGTATTTCTATGCTTTTGATATGCTAGACGATCTAAGCATTATATACCGGTTTGAAAATTTACTTGATGAAGTATACGGGAAGCGGAAACTTGAATATCTAAAACCTGAAAAGCTGAAAATGTTGTACGAGTTATATGTAGATTATATTAAAAATGGTGCACGGGCCAATGAAAGAATTTACAAATTTGTTGATGAAATGTTGGAAGATGCAAAAAGCGAATAAAGGTAGGGGATTTATTTATTTGTATGCTGGTGCTTCTACGTGTAAGATGGCTAGAGTTTTTGAGAAAATTGTAAAGGATTGGTTGTTTGAGCAGTTTTTGAATTCGGACAAAGTGAATGATGTGTGGAAATTACAAACGCTTGTTACAAAATTGGTGGATCGCGGTGTAATTCCAGATCATATTGACAAAGATTTAAGTTTGTACAAGTTGTTAATAATGCAACTTCAACGTTGTACAATGGGATTGGTTTCAACGCCAAGCGAAGGAGTTGTAATGCCGCAAATGATAAATTGTTCTACAGCCCCAGCATTGTTGTATATCGAGTCTGAGCATGCAAAACAAATTGAAGATTTAAGACACAAATTAGAACAGGATACAGGTGTAAATATTTATTATTATCACCGTCTTAAAAGTGTTGCTGATAAACGTCCCAAAAGATTACAACGTAAAAGACGTTCAATTACTTCTTAGAAAAAAAGTCTGTAAGTGTTGTTTGAAGTTTTTCCCCTGGCCCCTTATTTTTTTCTCTTTCTAGCCATCGTGCACCAACAGAAGCAATAATTTCTTCGGTTTGGGGTTCTTTGGGATCGTGAAATAGTTTGCGTGTTGTTACATGTTCGTATTGCCATCCCACATCACTTTGGTACCCCGTAGCAATAAAATAATCTTTACCTTCAGTTTGTGCTTTTGCAACTTTCTCTAGACGCATTTCTTCGGTTTTTCCCCGTAAATACCAATATATGTCCATACGGCAGGCGGCGCAGAATCGCTCGTTGAATTGCTCGTCATCATTACCTGCTTCGCAGAACCAGCATCTTCGGCATGGGGGCAATGTAGTTGTTGACATTTGGACCCGTCTTCCACTATTGTTGTACAAGTTTTGTTGTATAGCCGTGCAGCTGCTTCGTCATGGTATTTAAAAGCCATTTTTCCCTTTGCTTGCACTTTGTTTGCATGCCCTTAGAAGGTTTTTGCATGCGTAATTTATAAAAAAAATAAGTTAAATTCCATTTCCATATACGGTTATGTTTATTACGATTTCATTTTATAGCCACGATTTAATTGTGCGCAAATTTGAAATAACGTGGGATGAGTGGAAATAGCGTGTATGTGCGTTTTGGGTAATCAAGATTATTCTGCTTGTTTTTTAGCAAATTATTGTCATCAGCAGTTTGTTGTGAAATTTTGGAAATATTTTATGGTGTCCAATACAGTTGAAATTACTGATTTTGAAAGTGTATTTATAACGGGTATGCATGTTGGAGGAATATTATTGGATTTTGAAAAGCCGTTGCCACAATGTTCGATTGGGAACAAACGAAAGTTGTCACAGTAAATAAACCCAAAGCATGGTCCGATACGGGTACTGAAGAAGAGCAAAGAATGGTTTACAATATTGTGCGCGGGTATTTCTGTTGGCTTTATATATCAAAAGATTTTGGCGACGATTGTGCAACCTGTACGTATGATCGGTGGCTGACATGTGTAGATAGGGTTTTTCAAGATAAACATTTAATGATAGACGGTGCTTATGAAGAGCTTTTGAAGCGATATGGTTACAAAATGGTTTTTATGCCCAATGAAAATCCTTGTCAACCGCCTAGCTTGTATTATGATTTGGCGTTGAGTAAAGAAAGTTTTAAATATACAAACGTTTATGACATTTATAAGTTTTTAGATTTTGTATATGCGTTATGTGATACGTATAAAGTGTATAGCTTTGCCCCGTAAATTTTTTATCCATATATGGTGTGCGAATATATATATATATATTTAGTAGTAGTAGTAGTAGTAGAAAGACATAGTAGACATGGCTAGCGCACCAAAGCGAAGAAAGTGTGTAGATTAAAGATTGAAGTTTGCAGAATTAGCTGAAAAGTTACAGGAACAAAACAAAATGGAGTATCAACTAAGCGACGGATACGTGCATGGACCATACCATTACAAATATGCATATTTGCCCATTCGACCCTCCGATGATTGTATGATTCAACCCTCCGATGATGCTATTAAGACGCAAAAACAATTTGAACCAAAAAAGGAACCACAAGAGATTGTGAACTATGCTTTATGTACTATTAGTTAGTTAATAAAAAACATTGATCACAACAGTAAATACCATATTTCATTTGTTTAAAGCAATAAAATAATTTAGTTTTTGGTTGTAATTGTCTGTCCTTAAATTTCTTTGCTCTTGCAGCTGCAACATCTGAATTTACAGACCATGTTCCTGACGCGCTGGTCATTTGTAGAGGTTGTACTTTTTGCATATCAACAACATATTTCTTCTTATCCTTATTCCATTGTACTTTACGAGTGTCCATTTTTTCATGTTCACGAGTTTTTTCTTTGGGGACTTCATCACAAAATTCTTGCGGGTTTGGACCACACCAAACCCATCTTTTGCTTCTATGTTGCTCGTGTAATGTTTGAATTGTGTCGCGGTAAATTTTGGCAGCACAATAACATGTTTCACATTTTTCCGGACATTGACATGCAAATTTTTCAGGACAATATTTGCACCCTTTTAACTCATTACTACTACTACACCCATGAGCCATTTTTTCTTATTTTGTAAAACGCTGTCTGTTTATTTATAATATCTAGAGGTGTGTCTCTGTTTTCCATATATGGCGATGGTATGTTATATGTAAAAATATGATGAATATGAATTTTAGATATTTTATTTTAAATGTGAATTTTAGATTGCGCATTACTCTTTCTGGGCATTTAAAAATTTATGTTATTTTTACGGCTGAAGAACTTGCTACACTATTTGATTGGGTTGTTATAAACGCTTTGTATGCTATATATCATTCTATTTGAAAATGGCCGAGATTGAGTTTATGCCCATTTCATATCATCGGGCTATGAAAAAAAATACACCGCGACAGTACGCACAAAGATTGTGGTGGTGTTTTTCCACAGCGTCGGCTAAAATGGTTGATGAAACGTTGAAGCTTGTGGAAGACGACGTGTTTAATAACACGGCAAGTGTTATTGCTTGTAATATAAAATATTCTGATAAGCAATTTGCAGATACTAAGTATGTTACGGTAATACAACGTTTTTATAAACCTATCTCTAAGATGCAACTATACAATGATTTTATATGCCAACATTATCCTACAAAACATCGGGGTATTGATATTTTTAAAATTTGGCATCCAAGTCAACGTGAAATTAAGCTAGGGGAGATAGACGATGACATTCAGGATAGCGAGCAGATATTGGATGGTTTTGTGTTGCGTAACATGCTTTGGGATTTGAAGGACGGTGAATACGAAATTTATTAATGGAACATCAATTTACGAGTGTTTTTAGCAGTTTATTACCGTGCAAGTGTATATCTTGTAAAAATTGGGACGGTGTTTCAACTATTGTGTGTGAATATATTCGGTGCGTTTGTGATGATATGTGTACTGTGATATGTGAGATTTTGTCAATTCCACGTTATGTTTGTGCCGATTTACGTTGCCAGTTTAGCATTGAATCTAATAATGCTCATTTTGAGGAATATGTAGATGTTATGGATGCTTGTCAACCGTACCTAAAACTTAAGGATAGAAAGTTAACATGTGAATGTGGAACATTATTAAAAGCAAGTTTGGAATTTGTGCCCGTCCTTAATGAACTACAGTTATTTTTTATATGTCGGAACGGTGTGTGTGATTTTAAACGTTCTATGCCACAGTTAAAAAGTTCAAGAATTCGCTGTGTTTGCGAAAAATTCTGTGAACGAGACGGTGAAATATACAAATGTCCTCGTGGTGAAAAGGGCTGTGGCACATATTTTCATGAATTAGATTCATTTACTTTTATACATACAATAATACAAAAAATTGAGTTGGACGATAACGCGTGGGCATATTTGCCCATTAATGTTAAACCATTAAAATGTGGTGCTTATGGAATTTTAAAGTATAATAGTGAACAGAAACGATTAAATTTAGTATGTAAAAATTTATTTTGCGATTGTAGTACAGATGCTGTTATAGCACCAGAATTTAAAATAGATGAATAAAAAATTATCTTGCTTTTTTTAAATAAGCTTGTGTTATTATTGCGTCTCTTGCAGCTTTACGCGCTAATTCATGTTCTCCGGCCACAATCCCCCCTCTTTGATACGGTTTTTGACGTGGCAGCGGTCTTCTTCTTCTTTTTGGGGGACCCCAATAGTCATCATCATCATAATAGCGGGTTTGCCGACTTCTTCTTAGTTCTTCTTGAGCTTTTTGAAGTTGTTGTTCTTGTCTTTTGAGTTGTTGATTCATTCTAGCCATCATTTCTCTATCCCCACCATTCCTGCGACGACGACGACGACTACCCCCGCCGCCTCCAAAAGCTTTTGTAATAAGGCTGAGACCCGAAAAAGGTAAAAAACCACCCATTTGTTTTTTTTTGCCACATTGATGCCGGCGACCGGTAAAGTTCCCCCCTGACTGACTCATCATCATTTGAAAATGAGTGTGCTACTTTTAAAAGATACCCTTTATAAACTAGAATCGGTTTTATGGCGTGTGACTGATGTTACAGAAGTTGGACCTGTTGGTATAAATATTGTGATTAATAGTGGTCGTGGCGTATGCTATAACCTGACAGCGTTTGTTGATTATAAGTATATAATATTAAAACCATATTCAGGGTATTTGCTGCAAGATTACAGAAATTTTATCCGCATATTGGAGAAAATACATTTTTCAGCATATTTAAATACTGAGACGTTGCAATTAGAATTATGTAAAAAAGGGGTTTACTGTGGTTTAACGACACTGGCAAGATTACAGAAATGGAGACGACGTACCCTAGAGGCGGATTTACATTAGGGACGGTTTGTTTTTACAAAGATACATGTTGTAAAGCTACAAAACAATTGGTTTGTGTACGTGAACGTGTATCGTATAATCGGCGTATAAAATCTTTTACGATTAAAAATTTACATAGCTTGGGAACATTTTTGAACCAGGAGGACTGCAATATTGATGTGGATTTTATAAGTAAAACAATTTCTTGTTGGTATATTTCTGAATATGCTGCAGATTTTGAAAGTTTAGAGTATTTTTTACAAGCATGCCAAACAATTGACGATAAACGTGCTATAGCTATTAGAATGGTTGCTTTATTTGGAACAATATATTCAGACTTTATTACTAGAGAACTATCTGCGTTGTTGTATGGTAAATCATATGCTGTGGAATTATGGGGCGATGGCATCATGTCATTGTCAACTCTGAAAATTGCGTCTTAAATACAACATCTGCGAATATTTTACACGGCGATACAATATACAAGTGCAGTAAATATATGGAACTAGTGGAGAACAGAAAAGAATGGACGTTTTTTTTACGAACCAAAAATAAGGGGATAAAATATGTAACTATACAAAGGACCAAAGCACGAGCAGTGATAATGCGCGTTACTAAATTAACTTTGGGTGATTTTGAAATGCGAGAATTGTTAGGACGAATGATATTGTACGGAAGAGGACAACGTCGCACAAGAGATATTGTAGAAACATTTTTAAAGGAAGGGTATTATATGGATAAAAGTGTATATAAGTTTTTAAATATATGTCGTAGATTTAGAACGCACGTATGTGGCGTCTTAGAAGGATATGTGTAAGACATGGAAAAGTTTATTGAAATGCAAAAAACGTGGCATATGATACAATATGAAAAGGAATTAGAACGCTTGCACAAAAGAGCAGATGTGTTTTTATGTTTTTATTGGATGGGGGATGATGTTTATTTTGAACAACCTTTAATTCGACAACAATTTGATGCAATTCTTGATGTTATAGAAAAACGATATTTGGCTGAAATAAATACGGTTATAACCGAGAAAACACTTGTTATGGATTTAATGCTTGCAGTTCTTGACGGCGATTTTGCAAATAAAAGTTTTTGTCATAAATTGTACGTATTATCGGTAGCGCATATGTTATTTAAACAGAAACGTTTGTATTTTTCAACCCCTGAACGTAAAAGGACATATATGGTCATGGTATCTAAAATTACGCACAGTGTTATTTCTGAATTGGACAAACGAAATAAACGCGCCGACTTAATTAACATGGCCTGCCGTGCAGCCACGTGTCTATTGGCTTTTATATTCGTTTAGTTTTTAATTTTTTCATTCGCACCCTACACGCCAAGGTTTTAACATGGCTGAACAACAACAACAGGAACAAATTAAAGTTTACAAACGTGAAAAAACCGCACTTGAAAAAATTTTGGGTAGCTATGAAAATGGTAAAACCAAAATGGTCCTATTGAAACAATGGACTAAAAAGTGTGCTTTGACTGTTGGCTTGTTATCACAGGGTGCCGATAAATATATTTATGATTCGGGTATTGAAATGTCGTACGATGAAGTGGAAATGCTCGCCGATGTCCTGGCTACTATGGTGAAATCTGATCAGGCGAAAAATTACGCCGAATTGGGTACAAGTAAAGATTCGTACGGTAACGAATATCGTACAATATTAACGCGTAGTGAATTCGCTGGTTTAAAAGTCTGCAAGTTGAAAAAAACACAAAAACCTGTAGACTTTGGCGCCACAACCACAACCGATTGTCGCGATCCCGCACCAACCGCGTCCTCGACACCCGTGCCCCGTGCGGAAGATAGTTGGAACGAGTGTTTCGACAAATTTTATATTAACAAGAATGACGACTGGAAACAACTTGCCACCGTTATTCGTGAGTTTTGTTATGAGGCATATAGTATTTTGAATCCTTCCGGAGGTATTGACGTAGTACCCCCATCCCCGCCTGCACCACCCTCAACACCTGCGGAACAAAAACAGCTGGAAGGACCCAAGAAACGAAAGAACAAAGAGGGTACTAAAGGAGGTGTAAAGAAATCAAAAAAGGTTGTGATTGAAGAAGATTCTGAAAAGTCGGAGGCGAGAAAATTTTTAGCGTTACAAAATATGGCCACAAGACTGATAATGGTTTTCATGTGTAAATATAAAAAAGATTGCGAAGAAACGATTTCCCGATTTGGAAGAGAAATGTATAAAATATGTCCGTATCCCTACGAGAATTTTTTGAGTGTGTCCACGCATTTAGAAGAAACTTGTGCGAATATTAATCGTACGCTTCTTTCTTTTAGCAAAAACAAATAATTGCAGCCATCATTTCCCATATGAGCGAAAAGAACAGCGCTGTAGAAACAGTTTTAAAATATCACGAAAAATTAAAATTAACTTACGACTATAATAATTACATAAATTTTGTAAAAAAAAAATGAAGAATTAATTAATTATTATTATCATTGTGTAAGTAAATTAAAAATATAAAATTTTTTTTTATAGTAATGGATGACACTGAGCTTATTAAAAAAGCTGCAAGATTGTTAAAAGGAGAGACATTAACAAAGGAACAGAAGAACTTGTATACATTGCATGCAAAAAAAAAGCATAGAATAAAACGTTTAAAAATTCATGTATATAAAAAAAATGAACAATGGAGTATTGATTTAGCAGATTTAAACCAATTGTCAGGGTATAATAATCAATATCGTTATTTGCTTGTGTGTATTGATGTGGGGACACGTTATGCCTTTGTGAAATTGCTAAAAACAAAATCTGCAAAAAATGTTGCGGCTAAATTTGAAGAAATTATTCTTGAAAACGGCGCACCTAAAAAAATACAAGCCGATGAGGGTACAGAATTTAATAATATCAAAAAAATCCTTGCCCCCAAATATAATTTTACACTATTTCACACGCAAAATCGTGAAATAAAAGCCGCACATGCAGAAAGATTTATTGAAACTATAAAGGAAATGATTCAGCGTACGCTGACTATGAAATCAAGCTATTGATTTATTAAATATCTTCCGGTTATTGTTGAAAGATATAACAAGGCGCCACATCGGGGAATTCACAATGTAACACCTGTTGACTTGTACAAAAATGAAAAAATGCCCGCATTTTTAAAGTTCAAAATCCTAAAAAAATACTTATCGGGTTCACAACCACCCACAAGTTTGTTACGTGCAGGTCAAACAGTACGTATTGCAAGAATCAAAAATAGTATTTTTGAAAAATCAAGCTTAAGACGCTGGGGTAGAGAAATTTTTATAATTGATAAAATTTTTATTACCGATCCTGTTACATACAAATTAAAGGATAAACAGAACGAAAAAATTACGGGCATATTTTATCGTGAAGAACTACAGCCAGTATGAATGTACAAATTTTTAGTAATACAAAAAATCAATTGGGCGATGTAAATTATAATAATAAATTTACGATGACATTACCGCAACAAATTGATGGTGAAAATAAAAAACGATTTATACGTGCTTTAAATGTGACATACCCCGTGATGATTGATAATGTGGAAGATAAATCGTGTGGCATTCGCTTTGCATATAAACTTTCCTGGAATGCCGCAACACCGGCGTCACAAACGCAAGTAGATTACATTACATTCGAAACAGAATGGATGTTTTTACCCCGTGGACACTATACATTAAAAAAAATGGTTAAAGAATTAAATCGGTTTGTAGGTGAATATGGAATGAAATTTTCATTACTTCCCGGCGGTCGCGTTGGCGTATCGTTGGGTATTACACCACACTACGTATACCGTTATCAAGATAGCGATAATCTTTCGCACGATAAATATACTATAAAATCGGCCAATGATTTTTCTTTTGAAATGACCAAAGATTTAAAATATATGCTCGGTCTTGATGGCTATGTGTTGCATCCTAAAGTAGAAAATATATTTAAAGGGGGTAATTTTTCTTGGACGGACCCTCAGCCGCCAACTGAAATGGAATCAATTTTATCCACTATTTTAGTTGCTAATTTTAATAATGAATCAATAAATCAATTGTGGTATTTTTTTTACGGTAAATATGCTCCAGATATGACTAATGGGAAAACGCGTATGTTTATCTATTGTGACGAAGTTGTACCGTCCATTGTGGGCGATGTTCGGGGGCCATTATTAGCGCAATTACAAATTGTTCCCAATAATGAAATGGGGGTTGTACACACACAATTTATCGTCAATTACGCGAGAACTAATTAATAGCCAAATTACACATTTACATATAAGGGTTTGCGATCTTGAAAATAATTTAATTCAATTTAACGGTGGCAGCGTGGGTATCAAATGTATAATCGATTGAATAATGGGTACATTAACAATAAACAGTACGCTCATTAACAATCAATTTATTCCTACGGTTTATGAATTAACCGGATTTGCCGAAACTACAACCGATGACGTATATTACAATGTTGCTGCGAAAAGATCAAATATGGGAAATTTTGATATGGCAAGTTTTTGGTGTGCCCGTGCATTAAATTTTAGTGGTATGGCAAATGGGGCGACAAAAAGTGTATCCGGACGTTGGTCAAAAGGAAAAATCACCAATTTTAAAAATAATAGTATTGCAACGAGTGTAAACGCTTTACAAGCTATGGTATTTGATGACCATTTATTGATGCATATGTTTGGAAATGCAACCGTTAATACGGCAAATATAAACGCGACAAGGCAAAAACTTCCTCAGTATCTACTTGTTCGCGACCTAGCGCAGTTGAAAGAAAACGTTATTTTTTATATACTTTGGGGCGATAATACAAATTTACATTCAGCTAGTTTGTCCGGCAAGTATTTTTCAGTAGTATTAAATCTTTTTGAAAAAGAAAGCAATGAATGAACAACAATATTACGAATTATTACATGGTCGCGGACAAAGACATCCGGGTACAAATTTATGGTATATTCCAAAAACAGCTAAAACTATCGAAGAGCGTTCCCAAGAGAGTATTTGTCCACCGCCTCACTTAAACCCTGATTACATGCCCAATCCTAAAGTAAGACGCTGCGGAAAACTTCCCGAAAGATCAAGCTCAAGAAAACAAACCATCGACCCGAATGTTTTGAAACATATTTTTGGAAATAAATAGTTATACTTTTACACATAGTAAATGATTTGAATTTGAGACGGCTTAGAGTAAAGATGACAAAATCGAAAAAGCAATTTGGCGGGAATTTTAAAGGGGGAAAACATCAGCGTGGTAAAAAACAACATGGTGGAAATTTTAAAGGAGGAAAACATCAGCGTGGTAAAAAAAAACAAGACGGGGGTGGTGCGGGTCTAGCAATGGCTGCGGGTCTAGCAATTCCTGCTATTTTGGGTGCTGCAACAAAAATATTGCCTGGTATTTTTGGTAAAAAGAAACAACAGGTAACTAATAATAATTATAACAGACAACAACAACAGCAATACCGCCCACCACCACCACCACGACAGTATTACCCTCCGCCGAATTATTATCAACAACAACAGTATTATCGTCCACCACCACCGCCACAACGACAACAGTATTATCGACCACCACAGCCACAACGACAACAATATCCGCGTAGTGCAATAAAACAAACAGGCGGACGTGTTAATAAACGTAGGCCCAGAAAATTGCATAAAAAATGGTACCGTTAAATGATGCCATTATTTCAATGTAAAATTATATAAGTGTAATAAAAATTATAAAACTGTATATTATTTGTGGTTTATCTTTCATATCGTACACAAGTATGAAGCGCTCACATGCACAGGTCGATGATGAACCCATCGAGGTTCACGATAGCGGGTTTATGTCGCCCATGATGATGTTCCCCACATTTCCACACAATGATACATTTGTGGAAAGTCGTCAATTTAAATTAGTTGCAGGACCAATTTCTAATCCAGATGCTGAAGAATTTACATTTAATCACGCGCCTAACGATTATGGTGTTATGGATCTTCAAAGCGTAAGAATCACTGCAACCATTTCAATTATGGCCGCTAATAATGCCTATTTAGCTCCCGATCAAGATGTGGCGCTTTGTCAATCACCACTTAGATTGGGGTGGAAGTCACGAGAAATATTGGTGAATAATCAACGCATTAATTCGTTGTCATCACAGGAAAATGAAATTGAATTCATAAATCATTTAACGCGCGAAATACCTCAGGGGTATACTCCCGATCAAGAAATAACAGGGTGTATCCACAACACTCCTGGTGCGGGTAATAATAGTGATAGTATAGTACAAATGAGAGATCCGACTCATGCCGGACATGTTAATAAAGGTCTTGGCGCTCGCTATCAATTGTGTAAAAGAGATGTACCTTTCAAATGTTATGATTTCGTTAATGTAATGGGTGTTAATAAACGCTATGTTGTGTCATCATTTAATATGGCTGTGAGATTAACGCGTTTAGAAAAAGTAAAAACCATGATGGGCACTGCGGCCCATTGTGCTTTGGCAAAAATTTGTTATTCAAATTTAGAAATTCATATTCAAGCGTTTAAGCCGAAAGCACAATTAATGGCCGCCATTAACAACGCCATGATTCAAAAAGGCGAAGAAGCAAAATATTATGTACGTCACCATCGTTATGTACCCATACCAGTTGCAAACGGCACACATAAAATTGTAAAAAATGATCTTTTTACGGGTGCATGACCAACGCGTATGTTTATCTATATTCGTACACAGGCACGATATAACGGTGCGCATACTAGCAATCCAAATCGAATGATTTTTCCAGATTTAGAATTTCTAGGTGTTAAAATTAACGAAGCTTTTGTCGAGCCTACAATTGAAAATTCAAAAGAGGCATACATAAATTTACGACGTGTTTTAAATCGTAAATATGATGAGATGCTTTAATTACAAAGATTATTTAACCGATTATGGCCTTATTGCTCTTGATTTATCTGAAAACAAAGATAGTTACAATAATTAAATATTGCCCAATACAACCAGCGGTATTGTAAGTCTTGAAATACGTCTTAATAACCCACTTGCTGCGGCAAGTCAATTGATAGTGGTTGGCGAATTCAGAAATCAATTATCTTGCGCGTACCAAACGGAAGCTCGTTTAAAATTCGCGTATTAAATGATTTATGTATCATATGAACGATGCCTGTTAAACGGAAAAGAAGACCTTTGGGAAAAAAAAACACTTCGAAACATTTTACATATACCCGGTGCAAAACGTAATCATGTCATTGGCTGGGTGGCGTTGCAATACGAACAATTCACGTAAAACCCGTAATATCAAAATATGGATGAGGAAGAGAAAATAACCTATGATAATGAAGAAGTAGACCTCACAGAAAATAATTATGAAGAAGAAGTAGACCCCACAGAAAATAATGATGACGATAATGAAAATACGGAAACAGTGAAAAAAAATAATGATGATGAAGATAAAAGTGAATATGAAAGTGAAGAAGAATACTCAAATTATTCGGGGGATGATGAAGAAGAAAAGGAAGTAAATAATGAAGCATGTGCTTTATTTTTAAAACAAATATGGGATGCGCAATGTATGACTATTCAAAAACAAAAGCAATCTAAATTTATACCGGCAACTAAGAAGTTTTTAGCTGCAGGTTTTGCCAAAAAAGAAAAAATGCTTAATGATAACAAACAATTAGTGTCGCATTTGGTATTTTTATGCCGGCACATAGCAAACGGTAAAATACCATTAAATATATCAGAGTGTGAAAAAGGTTTATTTACATACATTTCCGATAGAACTACAAGCTGTGCAGACGTACGTTTATGTTTACTTGAAGAATTTGCGGTACAGCATTATTGCAGTCTTCCTATTAAAAAAATAGAAGCATCTCGGACTATTAACAGTGACGACGACAACAACGACAATGGGGGACGACGTAAAACGATTAATGCTGATAGACACCGAAAAATACAACACGATGATCAAGAACATAGATCGGTTAGTCGCCAACAGAGGAATTTTAGACGAGGCCAAACAAACAGCGGCCGAAGGGGAATTAATTGAAGGACATGCAAATATGATGGCCAGTGTCGCAAAAAAACAACCCTATGCTACCGACGACATTATTAATTATTCAAAAAAAAGAAAAAATTATCGAAAAGAACTACAGGAAATAGCTGCTGCTGGTCAACAACAACAACCCGCAGCAGGTGGTGGTCCCGCGCCAAAAGCGGGGTCATTAGCAATCTCAGAAAAACTGATACGTCATTTTCTCAAACAAAAATGTGTCGTAGAAACGGACAAGGGTGTTAAATTTGGACACAAATCACTTAATTTTAGTTTTGATGATATGGTTGCCGATCTCACAAAAAATGTAAAAAAAACAAACACAAATTTAAATTCAACACAACACGGAAAATTACTGAAAGAATTAAAAAAATTAAATATGCCCGTTTATTATATACGTAGTGAAAAGCTTAAAAGTCAATATCGATCATTAAGCGAATCTGCCCCATCAACGTCGCACGCGTCGCCACCACCACCCTATGAAACACCGTCACCGCAACAACAATCGCAGGGTCTTGGACAGATAACACCGTTTAGACAAAAAGGAAAGTCACGAGCATACATGGTTTAAAACATGGCTACATTAACATGCTTTATTAGCAAATTTCTAAATACGGACAATTTAGACCAACAAGCGCAAGATGATCCGGATATTTCGCCACACTATTTGGGGTGCTATCCTGCCGATGTAACACCAAAGGGTACCGCTGCAGAACAGTGCTGTTGGATATGGAATGTAGATCCAAAGGACAAACCCGGCACACATTGGGTTGCCGTTATAAAAGAAAAGGAACTAATTTATTTTTTTGATAGTTACGGTAAAACACCGTTTTTTTTTAAACGACATTACTGGGAAAAATACTTTGAAAAATTACATTGTAAAATGCAATTGTATAATACGTCGCAAATTCAATCACATGTTAGTAGAACATGCGGGTGCTGGTGTTTGTTATTTCTAAAATCTTATTATACTGGTACGCATATTATACGTAGTAATCTATTTACGCATAAAATTGACAATTTAATGGAGAATGAACAGACGTTGCAGCAAACATGCCTTTCATTATTTTCTACCTTAAAAAAATTATATACGAATAAATGTAATCGTAGTAAGGGACAAATATGTAAATCATATAGTGAAATATATCAAATACAAAGTTAAAAAAAATTTATTTTTTTCACAAATCATATACAACAGTTTGATCCTCGGGAAAAATTCCCGTTCTTACACGTGTATTTGCACATCCTTTTGGACAGCCGTCAAACACAATATATCCATACTCCTTTTTACCCACATCTTCAATCACTTTATGTATTTTACTTTGACATATTTTTTTATTTGACGCTATCATTTCTATATCTCTAAAGCAGGTCAGACTTTTACACATGATGTGATATTGACTGTTCACGCGGCAATTTCGTAATTTTCCAGATCCGTAATTTAAATTTTGGCATACAAAAATCACGGAGGCATTTGAATGGTGGCTGTCGCGTGACGCAATATTATTTAAATTAGTAAGATTTGTGCTGTTTGCACCCGCAATCACCATCAAATCATCTAGAACTATTGATGTACTTTTGCCCAATTTTTCTTTAATGGCTTCCATTGACGGTATGCCCGCATTACAATCAATAAAGTCGAACGATTTAAGCGTCGAGGTATGTTTGTTGTCACGAATGTGTTGTTTAGTACCGTCATAGTCGTCCACAGAGTAAAGGTATATTAGTTTGTCAATTTGTGGTTTGATTAGAGCTTCGTGGTGTTTTATTAGCTTTTCAATCAAATAGGATTTTCCACTTTGAGAGGGCCCGCACAACGTCATCATAAACGGATGTCGAAATGGAATCGTGCAATGCGTCAAATTATGGCCCTATGAAAAAATAATTTATGCGTCAATATACCCGTAAGGAACTGTCGTAAAATCATTACAAATAATACGCTTATCAAATGTGAATTGAAATTTTTTCTGAACTTGCTGAACATTTATTGTTTGATTATTTGACTGCGTAAATTCCGTATAAAATGTTGTGATTTTTTTTTTCGATTGTGCACGCCTTGTTGAATGCTATCAAAAGTAATTTTCTTTTTAGTATCGCCTTTTAACGAGAACCCCTTGACATGGACAATTTCATCACGTTTTTTTTCGCTATTTTCATTAATATATTCATTGGTTCGATACGAATATGATTTTGGACCAGTAGCACAAAACGTTTCTATCCATTTCTCGCTTTTCGCTTTTTTATCATATAATTCATCCGTCAGTTCCCCCAAATAACTACCGGTTTTTAAAACGTGCCCTTTTTCAATATTTTCCACATATATCACAGAATCGGTATCGTAATACAAAACGTCCTCCCCCAATTTATGTAAAACTTTAAATAATTCTAAACGTGCATACGCTGTTACAAATGCCGCTATCTATAACTACATTTCTGTTCGGTAAAGTTACCAAGGACGAAACCTTTCGATGTGTTGTGCGCGCCACGTCGTCGCTTATAAAATCTAGTGATGTTACTTCAATACTTAAATCGTTAACCATTTCTAATAAGTCGTCAAAGCGATCAACAAACGATATAACGGGTACATTTTCATTTTGTGCTAATTTACCCCATAATGAATTTAACAACGCCTTCATAACTGTTCTTTGTCCGGGGTTATATGAAATTTTACTTGCGTCCAATTGCACACCCTCATGTCTAAAATATTCCCCTACATATTTGTTGACTTTTTCCTCGTCTACATTACCGTGAATATCATAGCAGTTTTTTGGCAACCCGCTGCTTTCCTGTTTTAATTTCATAAAAGTGTTGACATACGTATCAAAGATTTTTTCACGCTGCTTATAATTATATACTTCGTAAACTTCCTTTACCATATAACCGTGTTTTAGCGCCACATGTATTTCTATACTTGTCCATGTACCGTATAACACACGTTCTTCTTCATTGTGTGTGCAAACATCGCATAAATTATCCGCACAAGTGCGACATAGTGGAAACGTTAATTTAGTGGTCCGATAAGGAATAACAGGAAATAAAAGATTTCTAGGCGGAAGTATCTTACATTTAATCAATCCAAATACAAACCCCAGATTAAGTTTGCTACATTTTTCTACACCGCGCACAATTTCAGGATGTTTTACGGGAAATACATTAATTTTCTGAACATACGGATACAAAGATGTAAAATCATAATACCGTATTTTTTTCTCGCAGGCATTGGTACACATAACTGCTGGTGAAACCCGACCCCCAAATAGGGCATCTCGCGGATTAAGATTAGTATTAATAAAAAAATCTTTTTCTCTTAACATTGCAATGGTTTTTTTAGTTAACTTATTTACGGCTAAAAAATCACATTCCCACATTTCAACAACTGTATACCCCTGACTTTCAAATTTCTCCGTAATACGACGTGTTCGTTCGCGTAGTGTATAAAATGTTTCGCTAACAACGTTGTTGAACATTTCGCCATTATAACATTCTTTACAACCGTGAAAAAAACAACCGTGAAACTGATATATAGTTCTTGTTTCGGGACAATATCCATCGACATAATGACCGGCAATACTTTGCTCCCCGTCGGGATGCAATTTACTGTACAATGTGACACCTCCTAAATCACTTTCAAGCTCTCTTAGCCAATATAAGGCAATAATACTTTGCTTAATATTTCCACCATAACCCTGTGCGGGTATTTGTCCTATAGTTTCCTCATTTAAAAAATTTGTACGATATACTTTTAATGCAAGTCCCGCGATCGTATGACAAGTTTTATCAAAAAATGGAAATACGTTTGTTATATTTTTAATTAATTGCGCAAATATAATACAACCCTGTCTAAGTATATCAACATCCAAACGACAATAATAATACATGGCTTCTCTAAAAATATACGGTTTTTTCTTTTGCTGCTCGTACCAGACATAAAAAACTTTGCGCTCTTCAGAACCCTCGGACGGCGGGTCAAAATATTCCAAACCAACCATGGGCCCCACATAATACAGGTCATAAAAAAGATAAGGGTGAAAACCCTTACAAATATCGGGAATGCCCAATGCTTCTGGAAATTTTTTTAACCCCATATTTAAAAATAAAAAACTATCCAATACTTTTAGATTTCGATCTTCTAATTCCATACACATGATCTTATTTCCGTTCATAATACATTGCGGTACAATTTTTCTTTCCACTAGCAATTCACGAAGTAGAAATACCGTATCAAAACGCCCACCATTATGCGCAATCCACACACTGTTTTTGGGTTGCGCGTACATAAAATCAACAAATTGCTTGGTGATGCAATCATTTTGTTTTTCTAAAACATATTGCCTATAACCACAACAGGGTACGCATTCTACGGATATATCGCATGTCGCATCTTCGGGATGCGGCAAAAAATGCTCGTAATTTTTCACAAACGGTTTTTCATCACAAAGCTGGCATACTTTTTGAATAACCGCATAAAAAGGAATCATATAGCCCTCATCATCTTTTCGTGTTTCAAAATCAAAAAAATAAAGTGTTGGTAAATTGGGATTTTTAGCCGCTTTACAAACTTTCATAAAACATTCGTGCGTTTTTTTTTAATGGCGTCACAATGCTTGCAATACATCATGTCACAATTATCGCGTGTCGTTTTTTTACCTATCACGCTCATACGCGAAACTTGTTTATAGCATGTTTTACAAAAAAACATTTGTTGACACGGAGTTACACAATACCGGGCCGTTTCTTTTTCTCGCCCCATAAAAACCTTTTTTGTAAGATGCCGCGTATAACAATCACGATTCTTAAAATTCACAAAATACCGCGGACACTGAATAAAAAAACCCTCTTCGCCCGGACATTTTTCAGGGGTACTATAACAATTCAAACATGAAAAGGATGTGCGACATACGTGGGCGTTAGCACGTTCCCAATGTCTTAAATAAATCATGCAATTAAAACAAAATTTTCCCGCATTCATTTTAGAAAATGTATTGGGCGAAAGTATCAAATCGTAATGACCGTCATTAAGCCATAAAAATATAACTTTTGAATTTGCACGACAAATTGTATCGGTGCCACGCATACGCGAATCGTATACAATTTCATCATTATTATTTTTGGAAAATACAACTAAATCAATATTCTGCACTGCTAAAAATTGCTCATAAACACGGGGCAATTGATTAACGCTAACACCCCCCACATCTAAACCACATTGTTCGTAAATGTCGGTAATTTCGTCGTCTGTATAAAGGTCTTCGAGCGGTGTATTACGATTAAGGTTTAGTTTATCGTGTCGTTCGTCTTTATCGAGAAAAGAGCGTCCCGTCAATATTGCCAGGGCAAAACAGCAATCCAATTTTGAAACAACTTGAAAAACACCGTTTCGAATTTCACGACCATGTTTTTGTGCCAATTTTTTTCTACTGCGACGCACATCCGTACCGTTTTTTCCTACCGATTTATAAACATTTTTCTTTTTTGCTGGTTTTTTTTTTTGTCGCTTGCGGTATATAACTATTTGGAAATATATACAGAGAAACAGTCGTACTCCACCACCATCAATCACCTCCTGAGCATTACTTTGCATATGTTTTTCAAAAATATCAAAAAACATATCAGCATTAAAATCAGAAACATTTAAAATAGCCGTGGAAAAAGCCGTACGAGGCGCCCTAGAGACATAAAAACGTGCTTTATCAGTCGGAGAACTAGCTATATAATTCATTGTATTTATTAGATAACTAAATATCTCGTAAAGAGAATCATAAAATTCAGGAAGTGTTGTTATATTTCCCGCACCTATTCTAACATTATAAATATATTCATTATAACCAAAGCGATGACGTGTCCGTACTTGATCAACACAAAAGGCGTTTCGCAGTATTTGCGTATTTTCTTTATTTTTTTCCACAATATTTGCAATCTCCTGAAGGTCTCTATCTTCTATATTATAATTTCTTTTCCCGCGCGATGTTTTTGTTGTTTGTCTCTGTAATCTATTTGCGCTAACCATTTTTGCAATATCCGCAATGTTTTTTGGCGTAATTTCAATACGTGTTTTATTAACTCTTACCATATCTATTATTTCCTGTAGGTCCTCATTGTCTAATTTATGACGTTTCTGTTTTCCGTTACTGTTGTCGTCTTCGGGGTTCTTTCTTTTTGCCATAGTATACAACAGCACGTTGTATATTCACTATCAGGATTTTCGTCAGGATTTTCGCTCCCGTCTACACCTTCCTCACCCACGACCACGTCATTACTCCTATTTATAAAAACACACCGCACTTTAATAAGCGGACTATCACCACCCGAAAACAACCGACTAAAAGCAGAACCCATTTCAACCTTCAGCCATGCAGTACAGCAAAAATGGGGAGTAACGCTTTAACGCACATTACTATATACATTAAAAATGATTTTAGTACAAATAACACCGATAAATACATACCGTCATACGAAATTTCAGAAGATCCCGATGACCAAGTCATTGTTTCGGACCGTATTTTTCCCGAAGCATTCACAGATTGGGCCCGGGACGGTGGGCATATAGTCCAAGTACAACCCTGGGATATACGTACTCGCGTAGAGGCACTTTGCAGTGAACAATGTATAACATCGTACGTGACGTCTAAAATGATAAAGATAGCAGAGCATATTGAAAAAAACATTGATAAATACGTAGGGATAACAGTTATTTTTTAAAGAATGTCAAATAGACGGCAAAAATTTATTTTAAACTTTCTAAACAATATCTACGAAAAACTACGCGTCATAAAAGACACTCAAAGTATTCGAAAATCACAGCGTTGCGTTGCTAACACTTTAAAAGATCAACAATGCCGTAAACGTACCGCACATACTAAAAAATGTTGGATTCATTTAGCCAAACAAAATAATTTACGTATTAAACCCTCCAGAATTATTGGCGGCGGAAAAGGACTATACACGTGGAAGAAAAAAATTCCGAGTGGTAATACTATCGGCAAATTTACGGGGCACGTGACAACAAAAAAAAAATTGGATCAACGTTACGGCGACAAAACCGCAAAATACGCTGTCTGCAATCGTCGGGGAAAATGTATCGATTCAAACTATACTACTGACGGCGCGCCATGGTTTGCCAACGACGCGCATAAAACGCCGCTTAAAAGCGAGTAAAACAATACCGCCAAATCAAGAAATTTTCACATCATACGGCGCGCAATACTGGCAATAAATACTTAGTAATACTTTAATAACGCTATCAGTTTCAACATGACGCGCACAAAGCTACCCGACCTTAGCGCCGCACCAAATCTCAAAAGAAGAAGGGGCGAGATACACAAAAAACAACTGCAAATGCGTCAAATGCTATCAAACCCCAGAGCTTTTCTACAGAAATTTGGAAGACGCTTTTTAGCCGAAAAAAAGAAAGCCGTAAAAAAGAAAGTGGTCAAACGAGTACAAGATACCGATCGTGCCTGGTTTGGAACACAACGCGGTGGTCGAATTCAACAAACAAACAGAAAACCGCATAACAAAATACCGGTACAATATCAATATCATCAATAATGTAAAAAATTTAATAAAAATTACCTTTGTCTACGTTTGTGTGTGACTTTTGATATCTGCGCACGATATTTTTCAAACTGAACCGATGCGTTTATATGAAAAAATCTTGCAGACAGCCATTTTTATTTATACATGATTTAAAAGGGAAATCCGCCACACCCGTTATTTTGAAAAACTGCATGTTATTATCCATATATGGACATGCTTAAATTTCGCCCTCTTGTAAATAAATAGTAATAATGCGGACATTTTTTTAATTTATTGATGATTGAAGTGTTTTACACTTACACTACATTTTTAAATTTAGTCCTACGCCATAATAAAAAACTTAATGCGTCCAGCATCACGACTGCCGTCCTAATGAACAAAATCACACCATCCCTCACACTTTATCATAAGGAAGTCTACTCAATGCATCGGCATATTCACATATTTTATGACCGCCTTTAAGAAACTCACACTGCGCATAATTTTTAGTTTCCATAAAATTGTTTACTAAATTCTTATACGGTACCAGATCATCTTTTAAGAGACGGTTTCTACCGCCCAATGCAAAGCTTCCTTGGTCTTTTATTTCCGATTCAGAAAGCTCATGATGCTTGCAAAGTAACCATATTCGTACATGGGGTAAAACCATAGGTAATTTCACATCTTGCAAATAACTTGTGTTAAATCCCGCCGCCGAAAGATGATGATTTATTTTCCCTCGTGGCACACAATCAGAAAACTGAACTATACCAACAATCTTGGTCAACAATTCTACGTGGTACTGTAAATATTTTAAATAAGTCATCCCCATTTCCAGTAATACATTACTGATATGTCCCCAATTCACAACATTATACAATGGTGATACAGACTCAAAATAATATGTACGAGACATTTTCAAAAAATTTATTTTTTCCTTTTACTTTTATTCATTTTACAACCTACATACCAATACCATATATAGTCATTAATTAAATTTCTCAAAAAATGGGTCAACAATTTCTTTACAAATACTATCACAAATATCTTTAATTTTTAACGGTGCTCTATAAGCATCTTTACGCATAACTGCAAAATCACCGTCCATAATATATGTGTAACAGGGTACTTGACCGTCTTTAAGTTTGTCACCGTCAGTAGAATTCATAACCCCTGCTAAAGTATCATGCTTAACTAACGTTGTACAAATCATTTCCACTAACTTATCTACATACACATTACAACAGCTGCACACTAATAAATGTTTCATAATTAATTTTAAAGTTTTTCCCTTAATTTGTTCGTCTCCAAACTTAAATAGGGGCTCATGTACGCCCAGCGCATAGATCACCTCTCGTGTTTTACCATAGGGGTCGGCCTGTCGTCGTGCGGCCTGGTACAACTGCTTAGCATTTATAAATACCCCCACATCGGCAAGCACTTCGTGAACTACTTCTGCACACGGTCCGACACCAACATGAAAGTAATCTTCAGAAACCACATATTCGTTTTTAATGCTTAGATGGTCGCGTCGTACAACCGCAATATCACCACGATACAAAATCTGTCGGCAACAAAACTTCCTTTTAGCCAAATACATGTACCAAGACTTATCTTTTACGCGTATATACACATAGGGTATCCACTCTGCAGGAATAACATAAAATGTTTTGTCCGTAGATCTGTCTTCATCGTCAAAATCGTCAAAATCATAGCAAGAATTTGAGACTTGGGTATCAACACCCAATAGCGCATAGTTAGGTTGTGATTTATCGTATAACATCACATCATGAATACCCATTAAGCATCCCTTTAACCACACCAGCGACCGTTTCTCAACAACCCGCTTTTCCCCGTCCTTTTCCTCTACATCGTATATACCCGCGCGACGATAATTTCGAATACAAATTTCTTTTACCCTAAATTCCGAATTTCAATTTCCTTCTTCCCATACAAATAACTGCATGTTGCATACAACGACCATAACACAGGATCATAGGGGTAATTTTCAAGTAAAAGACCCAACGCGGCAAGATTTAAGGGCACGTCGTAACAATTCATATTGCGTCCAAAAACTGTCCGAATAACTTCACTTCGTGTCGCGAACAATGATATTCACCCGTTATATGATAGGGACAACATTCGTGCTTCACATTGTATTTTGTCAATAAACATTCATATTTTGGGCACCCCAAAATTTCCATATTAATGCACGAAATACCGAGTCTATTCAATAAATTACGTTCAATATTTCCACCCTTGTACCCCACCAAATCGGCATTTTGAAATATTTTACACAACATGCCCACTATTTCACTATATAAATAAAAATTATTATCAATACGGCGTCTTTTAATGGGTAGACCATGTATTACCCTTATTTGGTAGCGGATTGCGCGATCATTTTCGTCAAACAGCTTGACGTTTGGAATGTAAATTTGATACGTCGTAACAATATTTGTGGATCTACACAATACAGAAACTTCGCGTAGAAAATTTTTCTTACGCCATGTATACGCCTCACAATCTATAATGTGTGTTATACGCCCCTTCAAGATATCGTGCTCATTTTGAACATTTCTTAACACATTTTCATTTATTTCACAATGCGGCAGTTGAAAAAACACTTCCATTCTCGCACACGCATACAACACAATAAAACATTTATTCCCACACTTCTAAATCTTTCAAACTACTACATACACATATTGTTGTATTACTACAATGGCATTTCATGACCATATTGTCTATTACTCGCTTCAAGCGTCTAAAACAAAACAATATTTTGCTAACTAAATGCGGGGAAATTAATACACCCCTATGAGTTTCAAAATCATCTAATATACGCTCAACATCTATAGCTTTATGGACGTACACGCTTTCATACATTTCGTTTATACATCTGTGAACTGTGTCCTGATATACATGGCTATCAATATTCATCTGATGTTCACAGTATTCAAAATGTATATTATACCCGACAGTTTGTTTATAAACCCCTTCAGCATGTGCAGTATACCCATATTTTATAGTAATACATGCTAATGTGTGTAAATAAACATCCTTATTTAATTGTTTAAACATTACATTAATAGTCATTATACGATTATTGTCATCTCTCGAACTATATGTCTCATACAGCCATTATTTATCCACGTTCCAATAAAACCTGTCATAGCACACGATGGGACTACCATAAAGACACCACCTCAAATTTTTCAACAATCTATACAGTTTCTTCTCCTTCGGGCAGACGGGCTCTAAAAAGCACCGCATGACTGGAAAGTTGTCTTGCGTCAACAAACACTTCGTCACATTCGTACGGTACGGGGCAACGGCACTCGTCGTTGAAACCGCCACACAAACAATTGCTACTACAAAAATTCTTTACAACGTAACGTGTTGCAAATGTAGGGCGTACTTTAAAAATTGTATCAGTCTTATCGACACGTGTGCCGCAGTTAAACGTAAAACTTCCCGTTGTATTTTATCTTCGTGATAAGTATAACCCAAAACAAATTGCACAATTCTGTCCAAGCAATTCAAAGCCGGCGGTCTCACATGTTCAGAATTCCAATTTTCCGGGTCAAGCGTAGTACAGCGATTTAATATAACTATTGTACGCTGACAACCCGTTAGAAGATATTTTTCCGTAACGCCAATAAACTTTTCGGGATAAATACCACAATATATTCTTGCGGTTATATAAGAGCGTCGAGACCAGTCGATTTCACGCTGACCCGAAAATGTAATGTTATAATCGTAGCAATATACGTAATACGACCCCAGCGTTAACGTGCGGTCACCACAAAATAACTGCGTTTCTCCTACACGCATTCCTACACGCATAACCTGCTCTTTTTCCATTAAACCCATATAAAAATTATACATTTTCATACTCAAAGTGACATGGTGGTGATTTATTAATTTTTCGCCACATAATACATTCTGATAAGGACGATGTTTTAACAAACAACAATTTTGAACATTTTCCACTGACAACAATTACAATTTATCTTCATTCTTATAATAGTCAAGCCACCTCTGAAACTCAGCTAACAATTTTGAAGAATATAATATTTTTCGTGAACTATCATACCCCCTAATATCCCCATCCATCTCACATAATTCAATACTTAAATATTCTTGTATATATTTTGCTAATAATTCATAATAATACCCACTTCCCCCTTCGACCCCTTCCGAATATTTAAAATCCTCTTGAGCGGCTTTAATTGTTATTTTAAAACCTGTATCAGAGATATACTCTAAAGCAACCCTGTACGCCGCATATTCGCCATGGTCAATCACCCCCAGTGTCAAATCTTCACGCGACACATACCCGACCAAATACACGTAACACCGCAGCTTGTAAATACAATTGTCGGCCATTAAAACTGTTGTTCCCGTACAGGATCTCGGCCAAAAACTTCCAGCATGATTTGCATAACATAACGCCATTTTATTTACTATTTCATCGTCTTCTCGAAAATAAGGCGGCATATATCTAGAAAATATTTAATTTATATTCTAAAAAGTTTACACATTTCCCGTATCACATTTTGCTTTACTAATATCCCTACACCCATTAAAATATTTTGCTGTAATATATTTACATTCGCAAGCGAATAGTCATTATCATTAAAAAAGCCTGTTAAACTATGAATTATGTCCACCATTACATCCCGGTCCTCCTCGCCGCCGTCACAGTCAAAGAAACCCAAACAATCCCGTTCATATATATTTCTAACACGATATTTTGTTAATATGTCGTGTACAAGTACTATTTTTCCAATACTAATATAATCGACCCCGTATATTTTCGGGTTCATGTAAACATAGCCCTTTACGCCACAGTAAAGAATGTCTCGATCCAAGATATTTACACACCACCCGTTATACATCGGTCTTCTCTCTCTTCTCTCCCAGGGTGCACGTTCAAGAGCCTCGCGTCCTTCTTCCCCCAATTTTTCATTCAAATTTAAAAACAACTGATAAATCTCATCATCAAAGACTTTGCTTTTCCACTATAAAAATTCAAAAAACTTACTTCACTGTACTGTACGCAAACCCATAAAGTGCTGACCACTCTTGCAAATCCAACGATAAAAACCCTGCACGAACCCTCTAAATTATTCACATTCATATTCATCTTTACAATAATACAGATCACCCCAATTTTTATCAAACATAAACAGCAATTCCAATGCTTTTTTTGGTCCAAACAATACATAACACAAATATAGAAAAACCATGGCAATCACCGCCCGCTGCCAAACATTGACCATCTGGAAAAATAAGATTAACATTCTATTACCAAATTTGGATAATAACGCTGTAAAAGCAACAAATACACAATAAAAATTCCACAACCATATGTAGGTAATAACGCACAACATTGTATTATTACAACACCATATATGGAAAATTACGTTACACCCTTCCAAAAAACAATAGTATACTAAAGATTTACAGCACACAAGCGTTATTTACACTCGCACCGCCAAGATGTCAGGAACGACCGAATTTATGCAGTTTGTAAACTACATGCAATGCTGTCTGTCAGACAAAAATACGGCGATTCTGACAAATCTATATGTGAATTTCACCCAGTATCAACCGCCTATCGGATGCTGTAATTTCGCAGAAAAATTTATATTTTGGAAGCAGCTGTACGATCAATATAACCTCGAGCAGGAAAAAATTACCAACGCTAACCTTTTCGCAGCACCTACGCCACCAACGGACTCTCGTTTAAAACCCTCAAGAAACCAGCTACCCGACGACTTAACAAGTCTATGTGACGAAAACGATATTGAACTGTTTCAAAATTTTTCCCTAAAAAATGAAGTTACCACTACTACTATCTCTCCTACAACAACTACGCCGTCACCACAACCCACAAATTGTGATGAGACGCAGGACATCGCTTACAACACCGACAACGAAAGTACAGCCATTATTACACCACTTGCTATGGAAAATAATACTGGCGATATTATCGAAATAGTCAACGAAACTACAATTACCGAACAAAACCCTCTAGCAGCATCATCCTCATCCGAAGACGAAGAAAAAGCACCGCCAAATTATGAAAGATCCCCAAGTCGTGGTAAAAATATTGAACAATTAAAGGCAATTTACAACAAGGAAGAGACCGTCGTCGCCACCGCAACAAAATCAAAACAAAGTAAACCGATACCCGTCCCTCGAAAGCGAAAGAGACCCGCCGCTAACACTGAAGGGCCTGGACCCGGAAGACCGACCAAAGATTCGGCGTTGCTGCGCGACACGAAAAGTGGCGAAGCCGATGGTGATGATACATTCGCAATTCGCGAAGTAGCGCTTTTTTTGGGGAACGGTTCAGTTCGGAAAAAGGCAAAGCTGTTAACAAAGCATGACAAGGACATTAAATGCTTTGCAATAAAGCACTATGCGCCGCTCGAATTCATTGCAGAGGAGAAGGTAAAAGCCTTTGGAAAGATAAAGGAACAAAGACACAAACTAAAAGTACTGAATTATATGGAACAAAATGTACTTGCAAACCTGCAAGAAATACAAAACTTTTAAAATAATGTAAATAATAGGTGAAAAATGTAAATTTAATAAATATTTTTTAGTAAATAAATTGAAAAAAAATAAATTTTTAACCGTCCCCGTCGATTATTAACAGCTCGCCCGCACGCCGCCCACACCCCCACCCGAAAAACGGGCGCACCGGATCTACGTCACCGGAAGTACGTCATACGCGCGTCACGTGACGCACGCCATAAAATCACCGCCAAATTCAAGTGTCCTCACTTCGGTCGACCAGGGCTTCGGCGACACATCTCCTCCAATGTTGCGCAACCCACGCATTATTGCGACACACACAGTGCCTTTTGGGGACGTCATGGTGAGCCCAAAAACCCCCCCGTCCGTGGAGACACTTTTTCACTCTTTTTTGCTGACGCGGCACTTTTGCGTAATACTATTTTATATTAAAAAAAAAATTCCCACACCCCCTCTTTTCTTTCGAGTACTTTTATGCCCTTACTACTGCAGAAGTAACGGGGTTGTAGAACTTTTCTGTAATATTGCCTGTGTTCTTGTGCCAAACCATGTACATTGCCCTGCGCAGATAATCTGTGTTGGAATGTCCGCACTTCATCGTTACATTTCCCCAGAATCCGTCAGGATTTCGCCATCCTTCATGTAACTCTCCTTCGCATGCTTTCATAGCAGAAATTATCTGCTCCAACGTGTCCTTTAAGTTGTAAGAGTGCTTTGTTTTCGTGAAAACCTGTAAATCCCAAAAAAATTCATTATACGCATACCTATACGGATACGAAAACATATAGTTAAAATAATTTTGTTTTTTTATACATACCATGATGCTGAATTATAGAATTCAAGACTTGATGTGGATAAAAAAAAGTCAGCAGTACTCGAAGGGATTTCAATAGTTATAGTATACTCAAATTAATATATCGTACATATGTACAGGGAAACGGATTTACCTGTCATTCTAGTCCTTATCTCTATTTCAGTCATTTACAGTGCCAATCCCTAAAGTCATTTACAGATAATACAGAACATGTGTTTTCGTGTTGAGGGTATACGTTTTCATTTAAGTCATAGAGAATGGATCTAAAATTTATAACAAACATGAATATTGTTAATATTTCAAATTCAAAACCACTACTATATTAATTTAACAGACTTTTAAAGTAACTGACGTTTGCCGGTGGCTAACGCCCAAATTCCTTACCATAATCAGATATGTCAATTCGATGACGTATGTTATTCATGCATGCATTTTTTCAATCAACAACGAAATGCTTATGGGCAGGTATAACCGATGCAATATGACAGGAATGGCGCGCAGTCTGGGCACGACTTATGTATCTGATATATGGCGTGACAAGCAGACCAACAAATCATTAGCTAGTCATAACCAATTGGAGAACTGTACTCTGCTTGCGTGATCGAAAACGAAAACCAACAGGGAGGTTGGCCTATGAGCAATGAGAACAATGAAAATGGTAAGTGCTATATATTTCTCAAATCTAGTTATTTAACTAGATAAGTATATATATCATATTGTTCACATGCATTTTTGTGAACTTAAACGATTTTGTGTTTCAGTTTCACAGGTGAGGAATTCAGACCTTGAGGCGCCCTTTGATACCTCAGGGGGACGAGATGCTTCAGAGTATGTATTTCGCGAAACGTTGCATAGAATATTGTATAATTTGCATTCTATATGATACCAGATTGCATATGCCTTTCAGCCGAATAACGTTCGGTCGTTTTTAGTGATTAATGTTCTGTTGCAATTATTCTATAGTGTTTGAAGCCTTCCAGCGATGGATGCAGTCGCAGACACAAGCAGCTATTCAAATCCACCCGCCAACTGGTAAAGCTTAAATATTCGGTTAAAATAGAGAACATCAATTGATTTTCAAACCTGAAAATATTTGACATGTGTTTTATCCAGGTTCATAAATCGGATAATTAAGATTTACTCTCATTTACATAAAGTTCGATCAGCTTTGATTTTCTTGGCTTATAGACAATGTTTATTCTTTTTAAAATTACTTTGCCAATGAACTTATATAGTAAGATGGGTCGTGTTTTACGTACGTTAAAACATTCGCATCCGAGCTATATCTGATATGCAACTCTCGTCTTCGGATCGAGTTAGTATATCACATAAAGATCAGCTGCTTACGTTTGAACTATAGTACTAAACAAATGGCAATTTTTCGTTTTTTGAAAGACATAGAAAATAGTATTAAGCTGCATATGGCATCAAACAAAAGAATCGTCACAAAACTTAAAGTATAAACATCACAATTATTAAATATATTATGGTATATGCGCATGCAGAAAAAGCTGTTCGAACGACTCACCAGGCACAAAAAACGACATAAATTACGTTTTTCCTAATTTTTTATAATTTTTTTTAATTAACAAAATAAATTACGTTGTGTTAATTGTAACGTGAATTTTGGGACACGCGTTTACTTATTTCGGTAACTGGGCAAAAGAATTGAAAGATACACCGTTTCCGTTCTTCACTGCAAACAATCGTATAGAATCTTCGGCAAACATATGCTGCGGAAACACTTATTTAAGTTGTATATATAATGTATATCTTTGTTATGTTTGTCTGTTATTTAGATAATCCTAACAACCTAGCACGCAAACGACGTGCCAACACGGCTGCCGGAGCAAGGAAATGGCTTGGAGGGCAAGATTAAATCGAAATAACGTGCGCAACAACTCTGGCGCAGTATCAAGTCAACGCATTAGTAATTTACCCATATAATACATATAGGTATACTGACTAACTATAATACTCAACGAAAATTGATACAATTAATGTTTTCCTTTCTACTCATATGGATATAACTTGCCATTACTGCAGACAAAAAGGCCACAAGAAGTGGAAATGCCCAATTCGCCCGAAAGGAAAAGGAAAAAGAGGGCAAAGGAGCGGGAATAGGGGCGGTAAAAATGTAAATATCTATTTATGATTCAAATAAACTACTTAAAAATAACACGTGGACTTACTTGTCGTGCTGCTTTCTTGGCATACTAGATACACTATCCAGCATTTACGTATAGCCATTAAAAATCATCCCGAAAAACCACTGTATCAAATCTAATAGAAAAGCTGGCGCAACAATTTACAAATTGAAAAGAAGTTCCTCTCATCGCATATAATTGGTTTAATACTGACATTCCTAAGTCAGTCCTGTTTGAGTGGGATTTTCGTTAATTTCAGGCTTGCACCACTTACGTTTAAGTAACCATTTGAAAAAGCATATAATTTTATACTATACATGAAATTTTAAGAAAATCCTATAGAATAGCGGCCAAGAATTTTACAATTAAACAAACAGTTGTTCAAAGCTCACATGCATATATTAATTGGCTTATAATATATGAGGCGCGCAGTACCAAGTTTGAGTGGGATTTTCCTTCATTTTCAGGCTTGCACCACTTACGTGTTAGCAACCATTTGAAAGAACATATAATTTGATACAACATATGAAAGTTTAAGAAAATCCTAAAGAATAGCGCGCAAGATTTGTAGAATTAAACAGAAAGTTGTTGAAAGCTCATATGTAATAGGCTGATAATATGAGAGGTGCGAAGTACAGTCATGTTTGAGTGGGATTTTCATTCATTTTTAGGCTGGCACCACTTGCGTGTTAGTAACCATTTGAAAGAGCATATTATTTGATACAATATATAAAAGTTTAAGAAAATCCTATTGAATAGCGGGCGCAAAATCTACAAATTAAATGCAGGGGGTTCCTGGCAACGCATATATAATTGACTTTGTGTATCAGATGCGCGTAATTATACAGCCAAATTTGAGTGGGATTTTCGTTCATTTTTAAGGTGGCACCACTTACGCGTTAGTAACCATTTGAAAGAGCATATAATTTTATACAATATATGAAATTTTAAGAAAATCCTATAGAATAGCGCGCAAGATTTTTACAATTAAACACACAGTTGTTGAAAGCTCATATGTAATAGGCTTATAATATAGGAGGTGCGAAGTACATTCATGTTTGAGTGGGATTTTCGTTCATTTTACGGCTCGCACCACTTACGTGTTAGTAACCATTTGAAAGAGCATATAATTTTATACAACATATGAAATTTTAAGAAAATCCTATAGGATAACGCGCAAGATTTTTAGAATTAAACAGAAAGTTGTTGAAAGCTGATATGTAATAGGCTGATAATATGAGAGGTGCGAAGTACAGTCATGCTTGAGTGGGATTTTTGTTCATTTTTAGGCTGGCACCACTTACGTGTTAGTAACCATTTGAAAGAGCATCTAATTTTATACAACATATGAAATTTTAAGAAAATCCTATAGAATAGCGCGCAAGATTTTTACAATTAAACAGACAGTTGTTGAAAGCTGATATACATATAATAGGCTTATAATATGAGAGGTGCGAAGTACATTCATGTTTGAGTGGGATTTTCGTTCATTTTACGGCTGGCACCACTTGCGTGTTAGTAACCATTTGAAAGAGCATATAATTTGATACAATATATAAAAGTTTAAGAAAATCCTATTGAATAGCGGGCGCAAAATCTACAAATTAAATGCAGGGAGTTCCTGGCAACGCATATATAATTGGCTTAGTGTATCAGATGCGCGTAATTATACAGCCAAATTTTAGTGGGATTTTCGTTCATTTTACGGCTGGCACCACTGACGTGTTAGTAACCATTTGAAAGAGCATATAATTTTATACCACATATGAAATTTTAAGAAAATCCTATAGAATAGCGCGCAAGATTTTTACAATTAAACACACAGTTGTTGAAAGCTCATATGTAATAGGCTTATAATATAAGAGGTGCGAAGTACATTCATGTTTGAGTGGGATTTTCGTTCATTTTTAGGCTGGCACCACTTACGTGTTAGTAACCATTTGAAAGAGGATATAATTTTATACAATATATGAAATTTTAAGAAAATCCTATAGAATAACGCACAAGATTTTTACAATTAAACAGACAGTTGTTGAAAGCTCATATGTAATAGGCTT